ACACGACATTATTATTGCTGCGACGCGGTTAGGAGCCATCCATAGACCGGCGGATGTTGTACAGGTCTGTCCCGATGAACAGTTCATCTGGCCTGCAGCGACGCCTGAGATCGCCTCCCCGTCCCATGACTTGCAAATGTAAAGATGCCTTGGCGCCGACTGTCAAGGGCAACTTTAAGGTACCGCGGGCGTCCCAGATGGAAGGAACCGATTCATTAACCTTACTGTATCCGTGAGAATGATCAAATAATTCTCATTCAGGCAAGTTCCCCTCACTTTTCTTTGGCCGAGGAAAAAAAAAAAAATTGAAAAAAAAAAAAAAGTTTTTGAAAAAAAAATGAATGTTTCCAAACTTTCCCCTCACCCGCTTGTTGACAGCATTTGGGAATAAATGGAGCTTGTGGCTACAAGTCTCCACTGCGCACTACTTACTAGTACGATCGTCGGTTGTCCCTCTCGGATCTCCCCCCCTGTTCCTTCTGCTCGCAAGTGTACCAAGGATGGCCTCTCCAACAGGCTAAATATTATGGATCTGGCTGTTGCTCAGTTACGGGGTCCCGATGACGGTCTTGGGAGCATTAAGTCTTAGCGTTCCAAAGGAGTGTCTTGCTACTAATTTCAAATCTCAACTTCCCTTTCTTTTTTTTTTCTTTTTTTTTTTTTTTGCATGTCATACCCCAATACTCTTGACAACGCTCTGCAGGCTCTGCAGAGCACTCTGGAGAAGGAGAAGAGGAATGGAAACGGGCAAAGAAAGAAGGGGAACTCGCAGAGGCAAGAATAATGTAGTCAAATCGCCGCGCAGGATTGCTTGTATTCGTGAAAAGAAAAGGAACGGAAAGAGGGCCCTTTCCTTGCATAACCTTTCCCTGGTTGGACTCAGCTTGCTCCATCATCGTCATCAAGCCAGGCGAATGTCAATTCGATTCGGCTCAGGTACTTTTAAACTCAGCTCCTGCTTCACGATATTCTGTTATTACTACTTTCTCTTCCTCCACATCCCCCTTCCTCATTAGTCGTGTCTTATACTGCCCCTTCCTTCCTTCTATCCTCTTTAAATCTACCTTCCCCCACCCTCTGATCCGCCTCCCATCTGCCTCCCATCCGCCCCTCATACTGCTCCTCCAACAACACTAGTCCGTCGCGACTCTTTATCACTCGCCCCCTGCACGCCGAACAACAACAACTTAATAATACCTCCAGGGTGGGACGACAACTGACCCTGTGTACTACAAGCCGCGGGACGGCTTCTGCTGTGCAATCCTCTTCCAACCTTAGCATCAACAACACCAAACACAACACTACATCGGCCTAGTTCCGCAAATTCGGGCTTGTCTTTTCGTCGCTACGGTGTCAGTTGTCTATGTCCCAGTACCGTAATCGGAGTGGGGGTTCTCAAAACATGGCCATCTCATATGCAAGCGGACTTCCAGCTGACAACCAGGCGCTACCGTCTTTTCGCGAGGTACGAGGGAATCAACACACCCCCATCTTTTAGCGCTGACCGTCAGCCCAACAAGTGAACCGGACGGGGCGGAAAGCAAGAGGGAAAAAATAAGTAAACATACTGACGTCGCATTCACAGCTGCTGCCGCCTCACCTGCACGAGGAGATCGAGTCGACTTCATACTACACCTCTCGGCAACCGCGCGAACGTCCGACTTCATCACACGATGTGACGAATAATTTCCGCCCTCCATATACATCGTCCTCTAAGGCGCCATTCGACCACAGGGAGTACTTAGGGAGGGCCTCCGATTCCCAGTCAAGAAACCATGCGCACGCTCCATGCGCCACCGATGCGACCCCCCGGTACACTTCACGCCCGAGTCCCATGCTTCCACCAATCCGCGATTTGCAATCGTATCCTGAGCGCGGGATGGGCGTCTATACGGAATCCAGAGATCATTCACGACCGGAGCTCGCCCCCAGGTCTGTCGGGTCTCAGGGATACACTTCAGCTTCATTGACTGGCCCGATGGACAGAAGGGGTGATGCGTATGGAACCGCGCCTATGCAACCTCAGATGGGATATCCTTACCAACATATGGCTTACCAAAGCGACCCGGAACATGCTTCTTCGCACGCGCTGTCGCACGCGCCGCAGTCGAACTTTGGGATTTTGGGAGACCCAATCGACCCGAAGAACAAGCGCAGGCGTGGCAACCTGCCGAAGCCTGTCACCGACACTCTCCGGGCCTGGTTTCATGAGCATCTTGATCATCCTTATCCTAGTGAGGAGGATAAACAAATGTTCATGAGTCGTACAGGCCTTACAATCAGTCAGGTAACTACTCTATGATCCTGGTTGACAACGCGTGTTGCTAACTGTCGCTCAGATCAGTAATTGGTTTATCAATGCGAGAAGACGCCAACTGCCTGCCCTGCGGAATCAGATGCGCAACGGGAATGAGCTGGACCCGCAACGACAGTCTCCCCTAAGTGATATGGAGCAGACGCCGTCCGAGTCATCACCTCACCGGAGACACTGATCAATCTACTTGGAGGCAAACGTGTTGGAATAGCAATTCGGATATCACGGCCAGCTCAAATTTTTAGAACCGCACCGCAAGGGACATGCACCTACCTACATACCTATATTACGATTTACGGGTCCCAGCAGGATAGACACTATCTCTCTTTCCTCCCTTTTTTTATGTTTAATTTCCTTTCATATCACTTCTACAGCCGAGAGACGCACTCTTGATACCCTGCTTGTTTTCAGATCGAATTTTTGCGCTTTGCATGGGTCAACAGGTTTCAGCGCATAACAGCACATTACTGGGAGAGTCTCCCAAGATTTCTAATAATTGCCAATGCATGAAAGGTGTTTGGGTATTCTTTGTTATTCATCACAGTTGCGAGCATCTATGTACAGTACCAGTATGGATTATGTGACCATGCCCTAGACCACAACATTTGCAAATGTCATGGCAATTGAGCATCATAATGATTGCGGTCCCATACTAGAAAAGCGTGGCACAGGAGAGTTTGTTGGCATGCATGCAGAGTCCGCCGTGCTCAGGCTTGGACTGGTGCTCCACTAAAATCGCAATAGACTTGCGGTGAAGCTTTTTGTGAACTTGGTACGAGGTAGAGGAAAACTTAAAGTAAGGTACGGATTTCAAGCCAACGGTTCTCCGCTGATATCTTGGGATCTGTGGAGTAACGAGTTAGGAACAGGAGTCGAGTCAGATGAGTCTACTCGTTCGGTGATGGAGATCTATCGGTCTGCCCAACTGCCGACTCCAGCTTTCTTTCACATGGCCCGGACGTCGAGCTTGGATGGGTTTCTTTGTTCAGAGAGCTCGCAGAGTCCAAGCTTGGACACGAGACTCGAGATCGCCAGATCGACATGCCGAGTCGATCAATTTAGGCATACATGTAACATATTAATATCCCAAAGTCTTTATTTGCAATTCTTTTGGAGCGAAGCTCAAAACCAGTCCGTGCCATCCAAGGCCACTTATCCACACCCACATGCCAACAACTCGGACAATCATGCAATTTCCAAGGTCCCGCAAATCTTATTTCCTCCCCATCCCTCGTGCATCAAGCACGGAGCAAGAACGACCTTCTTTGTCTTCTTTTGGTGTGCCATTTTTTGAGGCGTCTACCCCCCGCCTCCTTCCCAGACTCGCAACCTTGGCTCGATGTGGTTAGAGTTTTGTGTCACCATGACAAGTCGTATTCTACGTAGTGTATCACCGCTGAAGGATCAATATACTAACTACTATTTACCTGCTATTCGGCAAGTCTAACGGTAACGGTGGATGGTGTCGCGCAACTGAGGGCCTGAACGTGCAGTTGATCGCTGTATTAAGCAAGGGATGGTGGGCGGGCTGGCTGGGAAGTCGGCTGCAGTGGGCTTGGAGCCTTGGCCCTGGGTTCTCTTCGTGCCTGAACCCTGATGGATGAACCAGCCAATGTGGGCTAATCGAGGGCTGGTGCCAATGCATGCCGATCGCGATCCTCGATGTCACCCTTGAAGCAAGGAGGAGCTCTGTTATGTTGTTACTGTTGGTGTTGCTGCCGAGGGCTGCTGGCGGACGCGGGAGAAGGTTCAGTGCTCTCCGATTGGAGGGTTCGTCTCGGTATTGAGGAGTACCTCCTCTTCCGAAGGTTGTCTAGTACTACTAGTAGTAGGGTGCCACCCACACTGCTAGTTTAGGGCTGACACTAAATACAAAGTACTACGTGCTGCTTACAGCCTTCAAGACTTGGAATATAGTTTACCGCTTTATCCCGAGAAAAATAAAGATCTTAAACTCTCCAAAGCCCAGCGGACTATCAACAGTCCAACACGGCCTTCCTCCCTGCCGCCGCACAACCCCCTGACATGCCAGCCGCCTCCCAGAACCGGGAAAACGAGCCCAACCTCCGCATCTGCAGCTGCACCAAAAATGGCTGTGGCTGGACCCATGGGTTCAGTGTGGCATTTGATTCTGCACCTACCGGTTACCCTTTCCGGCGAATCGGGCTCGTTGGTTTCGGCATTCGTGTCTGCGTCAGCATCAACAGCGGGGCGAGCTACAATGGCTGTATGACTCGATATTTGCCGGTGCATGTCACCCGGATGAGCTCGCAACAAAGAGGAATGCGAGATTTATTCAAGGTTGGCGGCATTGCGGCCCGGCAATGCAACACTGCCAGGCATAGATGATAGGGTACCATTTGGATTTGACCTTGATGCGCGGCGAAAGCTACGTATACTTAAGGTTTGCTGTCAGATAGTATACTGCTATTCGTCACTTCTGCCCTAATCCATGAATACCCGAATGGGTATACAATCATCGCATCCATGGATACATATTCCCAAGAAGGAATACCCGAAGCGAGGTATAGAGCAGGCTGCAGCCAGCGCACTCATATTTTGAGACTCCGTCACCTTGCGAGCCACGATTCCGAAAAAGCCCTAGAACCTACTCCAAGTCACACAGGCTAGCCTCCACTTTTACCCCTCATTAATCGACTTGGCTCGTACTACACCACAATAAAAAGCATCAATGGTCTAACGGTTATGATTCAACCTTCCCAAGGTTGGGACCCGCGTTCGACTCGCGGTTGATGCATTCTGATTGGCTTTTTGCATATTATTCATTTTCAGATGGGCTGTTGAAGTGTCGATCGGCCTCAGCAAATTGCGGGGAGGTGACAGCGGAAGGCCGACAGCGGGTCGGGTCGGTGCGATCCAGGTCCGCCCAATGTTCGCTCTTTCCTCATCTCTGGTCGGAGTCTGGCGAGTGGTCGACGGTCTTTGGTGGAAGGAGCGACCCAGGGCATGCGCCACTGCGTGCCTGCCATTTTTGTCTGCGACCGGTCGCTCCTTCCTATTTACTATCATCAGGTATGATTCAGTCGTTCCTTCCCTGTCCATAGGGATCATACCAGGCTTGTTTCATTTCAGTCATGTCACGGACTCTGGCCGTGTACGTATGGCTAGGCACAGACAGTCACCCTCTAAAAGACCTTCAGTCGCCACCTGAGCCTAATAACTTGAGAAAATAAGAGTCAAAGCTTTGTGGAGACACACATCATTGAGGCTGTTTCTTTACCTGTAAAGATCCAGAGACATGTGTTGGAATCAACTATTCCGCAAGCAGGACTTACTCTCCACTACTAGGCTCTTGCTTGAGCGCACCGTCAATCCACCATAGCAAGGACTAGATGAAGAGCGTTTGCTCACTCGTCATAGTCCAGCATTTCTTCGAGATCCTCCCAGTCAAACTCCATGGCCTTGAGCATCCCGAAAAACTCCATTGTGTCCATCGCCTCTAGTTCCAACTCTCCCAGTCGACCAATCCTTTCCCTCCTCCTCTTCGCCTTCAGAAACTCCTTCCTAGCATCCCCATCCACCTCCCCATAGAACGATCCGGGCAAACACTCCACAATCTTCATCGGCAACCCGGGAGTCGGAAACTCAGGAGACACCCTTTCAAAGCAGTGGGTAACACCCTCCGACTCATAGCTCACCCCATTATCGAAGACCTCCACATCAACCGCCCCCGCGTGTACTCCACGGCTTCGCGCACCTCCACCGCGGCAGGGTCATTGAACCACCACGCGAGCACATGCACAAAGACATCGTGGTCCCAGTCATCATCGAATCGAACCCCGCAGGTCTTGCTCTCGCGGAGGCCCGTTTGGAGTCTGTAGATGAGAGTGTTGAGCAGCAGGCGGCGGTGCGGGGTGTCGGCGTCGAACCAGTAGAATGGGAGGTTGAGACCCAGTGGGAAGAAATCGGTTATGTAGATGAGGAGGGGGTCGATAAGCGGGTGGCATTGCGAGTGGTATATCGGCCAGGAGGTTTGGAAGGCTGCTATTGCGGTGGTGGAGAGCGGAGAGGGCTTGGTGGTCGGCTTCTCTTTTTGCGGGGGCATTGTTGGAGTGGTTTCTGAGGGGGAAGACGTAGGTAGGGCAGCCATTGGTGATCAGATGGTGAACCTCACTTCTAGAGGATTCGTACTTTTGAGGGTGGATGGAGGGCAGAAATATTTTAGAGTAGTAAGATTGTATCTAATGCAACATGCCCTTTACCCTGTGGTGACAGAGACGATTCAGCTCGGTCTCTTAAGGCATCAACTGGGATGATGAACAATGGACCCAAGTCAATGTTGGGCTTGAAGATCACAGAGACAGTGTTGTATTGAGAATGTTCAACACATCACCATGCGTTAATCCCCTTCTGGTAGGTGAGCAGCCTAGTTGTTGACAAGCAAACGGATATAGGACCTCTCGAGGCTAAAATCTGGATAATGCCCACGACGAAGCTGAGACACAGGCAGAAGTGATTAAGAGGAATTGAAATGGTGCTCAACACACGTGAAGAAATGGAGGGTGTTGATGGGAAAGGTAACGGCTGAATCCCACATCTTGTGTTATACACTTCAGCATCCCGCGTCAACCACGTTGGGATATTGACTTTCTGCTACAGACGATTTCACAAACCTAACCTTGTCTTTTACTCTGTAGCTCATGATCTACTCATACATATCTAGAATTGTAGAAAACCCGCCTGCTACACTGGCAATAATATATGATGTTCTGATGGCCAAGCACTGGGGTACCTTTACCAAAATACCTTCTTCACTTGTGCTCCTACTGTCCTATGTGACTGGCTATCATGGCTTTCGAAATTGACCACTTGGTATACTTGTTGATTTAACTCGAAGATTGCAACAATGCCATTAAAGACTGAGACTGAATGAGGTATCATCAAACTGAATACCCGCGGAGTTGATTCAACTCATACACCTCTTGGCTAGCCATAGATCTTGAAAAGGGCGACACACTTGATATGTAAAATGATTGCAGCTTACTTTATTACAAGCAGTGACTGCTATCAGTGTAAGGCTAACCCACGTTTGATTGAGTCTACGAAAGGACTTTGCTTTGAAAATTCATATTAACAAGTCTGAATAATGCGCCGATATATACTCCTGTATGTAAAACCCAAGCAATATACTTATCCATGCCATCTAAAACAATTTATCAAAAGCAATCCGACAAAATCCAGCATCGGAGAACAAAAATCGCTAAACTTGAAGTTGACGCTTTTCCCGAGAGCTCGGGGATAAGCGCAAGGCAGCTCGGATTTGATATATCCGCTGAGCCCGACCCCGAGCCCGACCTTAGTTAAGACCAAAACATCCATCTTATTGTACATTTGCCGTCTTACCACGTTTCCTGCTTCACGTTAGCTTCTCATCCAGTTTTTCTTTAGAATTCTGGAACTTACCGCGATATACTGCCCGGCCTCCTTCTTGTTCGCCCAGAATAGCTCGGCTTCTTCTCTGTTAAGGTTCCCCTTGGCCATCGCAACGTCCACCAACGCCGCTTCAACACCTTCGCCCATTCCCTTGCCGCTTCCGCAGACGAATACACGTCCATCGAGAGAGTTGATTACGAACCAAACTAAATCCGCCTGATTGCGAACTTCTTCCTGAACGTACTTGCTCTCGCCGCGCCGGCTTTGAACGACCTTGCGTACCTTGTCCTCCTCCACGCCCCACTCGCCTCGATAGAGCTCATCGAGCAACGAATCGCGTACTCCCTGCAACACCCAGACCTTGTTCGCACAATTTGCAGACTGCAGTCGACGCTGTACGAAGCCACGGAATGGAGCGATGCCAACACCAGCACCGATAAGCAGCATAGGACCGTCCGAGGCAAATCGCTTAGCGAGGGGGTTTGCCATGAGACCTCGGAACATAGGGACATGCAGGCCAAGGTCTCCAGGCTCGCCGCCTTGGTTTTGAGCTTGAATGACGCACTGGGCAAGACGTTCCATGTAGCCGGATCCGACACCTGTGCGGTGTCCACCCTTCCAGTCGTCGGATTCGGCCACTGTCACGGCAATTTCGACGAGGCGGCGAGACTGCGTGCCTTTCCTCTTACAGGAGATAAGTGGGTCTTGAGAGAGGGAATAGAAGCGGGGCATGAGTTGGTTGAGGGCAGATAGGAGATGATCTAGAGGAGGTTGAGAGGAGGGAAAGGCGTGGAGTAACTGGGCGACAGTGATGTGGGAGCTGGTGCGGAGGTCGCAAAAAGCACCTTGGCCCTGGGCGGCTGAGAGGAACATCAAGATCTTCTTCTCGCTCGGGTCGCTGGCGTACTCGGCGAGCAGCCGGAACAACCCCTTGGTCGGGGCATAACTCTGAATGTCGGAGCACCAGCTCAGCAGTTCTCGTCGGGTTGTGATCAACTCCCGCGCTTCGTCCTTGCCCCAGATGGTTGGCCACCTGCCACTGGACGTGCGTACGAGAATCTTCTTGTCGCGGACGGTCTTGGGAATACCCAGCCCGTTGAAAACATCGTTGACCTCTTCCTCTTTATTCATAGGACACACGCCAATCGCACCGCCAACGACAAAGTCAACGTTTCCACTCTCCGCAGGGTAGTCCGTTACGTCGATATCAAAGTGGTATGTCCTCTTCTCGGCGCCGGGCTGTGTGAGTTCACGTGCATGATAAATGGGGGCTCGGTATACGTCGTATGGAGGGTGAGGTTTAACGAAAGGAGGGGGATGGTCGGCAGGCCCAAAGTTTGTGTGTAACGCGGAGGTGGGAATTGCCAAAAAGGATACTGTCTTTGGTGGTAAGGGGGCAATGTTGGTGAGTTCGCTGTCTAGCGTAAGGAGATCGACGTTCAGCTTCAAGCCTTGGAACGCCTTGTTGTCTGGCGGCGTAACGGGGTTGATCAGAGAGATGGGTCCCTCGATTCGGCTCAGCGGTTGAAGGCGGCAGCATCCGCCACCGCAGCACATGGGCTGAAGCTTCTGTGTCCCTCCCGCCCCTACGCTCTCCAGCACGCGCCTCATATCATCAGGGCCCTGTGAAATGAGAACGGTGGAGGCTCGCCGCCGACGCCCGGAACCATCCTCTATTTGTTTCTCATCTTCTAGGTCTGAGGTTTCTGTGGGTGGTGTCGAGGGCGATTGTGAATCGAAATCTGTGATCTCTGTTTCTTGGGACGAAAGCGAGGGACTGCCGAAACTCGTCGTGGTAACCGACAGCGAGCGGACTCGAGGTTCTTCCGGAACGGGGTTATCTGGGTGGGAGGTCGATGATACGGGGATATTTCCAGGCTCCCCACGCTGAGTATATGCCGGCCTTGAGGCCGCAATTCGCGGCGACAGCGCGGTCTGGGGTACCACTGCGTGAACTAATGTAGATATTAGCCATTGATCGCTTCGACTTCCACGTAGTATTCAAAGGTGAAGACCACTAACCCATTGCGAATCTAAACCGACGAATAATTAAGCCGGAAGAGTACTACGCGCTGAGCGCACGTCAAGATTGAAAAGCTGAGGGTTCGGTACCGTGGGAAAAAGAGCTAATCAGGTGGGGGTTTTATAAGAGTAGAAGGATAATTGAGAATAACCGGTCGAGAAAAGGAGTCAAGAGGCTAGGCTCTCGGCATGTGCACACCGCAACAAGCCGTCAGAGTGTAGGACAGATGTTAAATAGGAGTCGTGACGGGATCCCAGAGGGTGAAACGGTTGAATGTTGCTCGGTAATGAGAGTGGATGGGGTGGGATGAGGCGGAAAGTCTTGTCGACTGGGGCAAACCG